GGGGCTTGGGGCCCACTGACCTCCCTCTGCGCCAGCCCCGGCCCATGTGTCCCCACCTCTGGGCAAAGGTGAAGGGAAAAGCAGCACAGGAAACACAGCTGCAGGGCAGGCCTTTGCCAAGACCCCCTGCCCCGGGGCCATCGCAGCTGCCTGCCTGCAGACTCTGCACCCAGAGGAGGGTGCAAAGGCTTGGCTGTTTGCACACACACATACACGCACCAGGAGAAACCCAACCTCTGGCGCCTGGGGGGGCTCAGGGGTTGAGCATCTGCCTTTGGCTCAGGGCATGACCCCGGGATCCTGGGATCGAGTCCCGCGTCGGGCTCCCTGCATGGAGCCTGCTTCTCCCTCTGCCTGGGTCTTCGCCTGTCTCCTGAATAAATAAAATCTCCAAAAACAAAAACAAAAACAACCTAACTGCAATAACAAATAAAAGTTGCCTAAGATTTCAGATGTCAAATAGGATTGTCTTCTCAAGGCATGAAAAAAATCATCAGTAATCGCCTATTTCCACTGCTCATGGAAAGAGCGATTAATGTTTGCTGAGCCCTTGATATGGTTGTGTTTTGCACACTGGCTCACATAATCCTCAGAGCCCCATCACCTTTGTTTCATAACAAGGCTCACGGTCATGGAGCCGGTAAACAGATCTAGGACTCAAACCAAGATCACTCAGCTCAAGACTATTTTTCACTAATGCACATCGTCACGGAAATTTAAAACAAGTTACATCCTGCAAAGTTAACATCCCTACAAGAACAGTGGCAGTCATTTGGCTAGGATTTTACAAATAAAGGCAGTTTCATGTTCTACTTCAGCTGTTTTTACCAAAACACCAAAACACCACCCACCAAAAAAGTATTTTTTAAGTTTACACTCCCTACCAGTATTGTTGACAAATGTAGTAAGAACGCAGTTTGGTAAACTTTTCCATATTTTCTATAGTTTTGGGGGCAGTTCGGGGTTTAATAAGCCCGTTTAACTGAGGGGAATTTACTTTTGATGTCAGGGTGTTGCTGGTTCATAAATTAGAACTAGATGGCTCAACTACTCCCTAGTGATCTGTATCATGAGGCCATCAGAAATTCTTAGCCAATGGAATAACGAAACCTTGAAAACCTTTCGCCCACGTGTTGAGCCAGATTCTTCAGCTGCAGAAACTATATAGTAATCACCCAGTAGATGGCACTAGCCGAGCCGACTACTGTTTTTATTTTCGCTTAGTCCTAGGACCTAGGTCAGAGGTCTTCCTCTTCTACTAGGGTTTTATTTGAAACCTAGAAGACCAGCCACCATAGCTACCAAATGATGCCTTGCAGATCACTTGTGAATATTTAGCTGCGTACAGAACAAGACTGAGATCTCTAGGTGGTGGCTTCTATTAGGCACTCCTAGGAATGCTCATCATGCCCCCACCACCACTACTTTTCACTTTGGCCAGTCTCTCTGCACAAAATATAGTAGGGGACTGAGGAATGCTCTGGGGGCAAGAGAGGGTTGAAGATGCTATCAACGTGTATTTGCTGAGATAAGTACTAATAAAATCTATTTTCAAAAAAGCTTAACAGAAACCTAGGTTGAAAAAAACTTTTTGATATAGGCCCAAACGAAGTTAGGGGACTGCACTGTAGACGATCTGATTTTAGTATTCTCATGATTTGAAAATTCTGCTCGAACCTAACTCAAAATTAAACACAGCTCACACCCAGAGGCCATACTCAAGACTACCCTGTTTTACTCAGCTCTGCCCTTTGGAAGCATCTAACTACAATTTCTCCATGTTTTACAAAACGGAACTTTGGTAGACTCTAGCCTCACAAAGAAATTGTATATGCATTTCAAGTTATTTGTGTTGGGGAAGGTATCAAGGGCAGGAGACAAAAATCCTCAAGGCCATTATTTCAAGTGCTGCTCTACCAAGACCCACACTTTAAAAAAATCCTTCTGATAGAGAAGAGCAGCAACTCGTACCTCCAACGGGTTCCTGAGGGAAATCTCACACAGGTGGCTTAGAAACCACTATGTCCGTTTCACTCAACATATCCAACAGATGGACAAGAAACTGAATTTTTCCACTCACAAGATTTCAGTGGAGTCAAGCAAAAAGTTGCTGGACTTCTGGTTGGAAATAGTTAAAAAGACTGGCTTCCAAAGGCATGCCAGATCCTTCAGCTGATCTGGTCTCTGTCATGTTGAGGACTGTGGTGTGAAGGTTGCCTCTCTCAAGGCACCAGAGTCTACTGCAGCCTTGGGTTGGCATGCTCTTAAAACTTGTGTGGAGTAGTGCTCACTTCGGCAGCAAACATACTAAAAAACTTGTGGAGCCGTACTAGTTGTGGGTTACTTTTCAAGACCTTTCCAAAAGGCTTACAGGTCTACGAGTCAAACTTGTTAAAATGTTCACTTTGCTACCATCTTACAGTGGCAAAGAGCCCTTAGGAACATCTTTGGGCCTCATATTCCTAAGGAGAAAAGTGCTAAGTGAATGGCTTATTGGGGGACGGTCTGGACTTGATTTCCCCTAGTCTCTTAGTTTGTGACCTATGCTTTGAGAAACATTGACCCTTTTAGCTCAGAAACCTGGAGTGATTTGGTTCTATTATTTGGACACAAAGTCTGGTGTATCCCTAATAAAACAAATTTCAATTAATTTTTTTGTTTTTTTAACTTCAATGAATTTGGAGAAAAGCTGAATATGCCTGGAAAGTAAAATGTTTTCCTAAGCTTCTCCCTTGGGACCTAACAAGGTAGCATTCACAACAGTGCTGTTTTCCAAAGGTCACAATTAGATTTCCTCAGAGGTATACCTGAACTGTTAATCATTACAACTACCTTGTGAAATGTGGGAGTGTCGTTACCCTAACATCTAATCATTGGCTGAAGCCTGGTTTTCACCACAGCCAAGTATGTCTGCCTTTACCCCTCCTATAACCCCTACTAGAGAACTGTAACTCTCTTTTCTACCAGAAATGTTAAGACTTTCATCAGATAGGATTAAACAATAATAGATTTCTATAAAAGCCATCGTAGGGCAAGTAATCCCAAGAAAAAGCCTAGAGGCAAAACAGACTGAGGCTGGGCAAGTGCTCATATTGATTCTGCTTTCATATGGTTTTCAGGGTTTGCTGTCTCTAGAACCTTTCCAAATACATTAAAGAAAAGGATTTTAAGAGTCACAGGGGAGCCCTAAGTTGCCTGGAGCAAACAGTAATCACTTTCATAACAAAAAAGGGAAGTCATTTCTATAACTAGAATGCCAGACCTATACGGATTTAAAAGTGCCATTGTGTCTTCAGACTGACGTAGAACAATTTGTACTTCTGAGAACACTGTGTAGGGCCAGTTAACCAGCTTCCTATACTTTAAATGTTCTCATAATCATAGCTTTATATTAACCCCACATTTATTTGTTCTCAGCATCATCCTTTTAGCATTATTACTCAACCCAGAATTAAATGTTCTTTTAAAATATTAAATGAGAACACAAGTGACAAGGACTCAGTACTAAAAACATTCAGGGCATCAAGTTAAACGGTCTTCAAAGTTAAAGCAGATTACTAAAAAAGCCTACAGGAAAAAAAGCAAAAAAAAGAGGTAGTATACTACAGGAAACCCTGGGTAAATGCCTATGGGAACGTGCGCTGCAACCCTCAATATTACACATCATCCTCTGGATTTATGAGTTCCATCTTCCCGTTTCTGTATTGTAGCCACTACCCAAAAAGTTGGCCCAGAGAGGAGGGGCCAGCGGGCTGACGAGACTTCAAATCACTTCCGAAGTGTCTCTGCAGAAATGAAACGGGACCCAATCCTAGCAGGCTGTGTATTTCTAGACTACATGGTTTTTGTTTTTGGTAGGTGTTTAGACATTTAAAAATTCACAGGTCAAAGCACCAGGAAAAGAGGAAGGTAGAAAACTTTCTTCCTCTTCTTGATGAGTACCGTCCAAGCAGACTGGTAGGGCAAATATTCATTATGGACTGTAATTCACTTTGCTTTGGTTTTGGAGGCTTCCCTTAAGAAAAAAGAGATTTGTTAATAAATGATAAAGAACACAGAACAACAAGATTAAATTACTGAGGCAAATTACAATTACAAAATAATAGCTTAGATCGTTCTCTATTTAATCTCAACATGTTAAAGGGTAACAGTTATTTCCACACCTAATGTTGCCATTTTTTTCTGTTCTTGAGATAGGACATCTATCTCTAACATCTGACTGCCTATTATGTGCCAGAAATCATTCTCATCACTTACATGGGAAATCTTTAGTAACTCTCTAAAGGGATATTACTTACTTGTTTTTACAGTTGTGCAACTTAAGGCTTACAGAGATTTTAAGTGTAATAATTTGTCTGACATCACAGGTGAGGAGATGATAGGCCAGGACTGGAAGCCAACAATCCCTGATAGTTGACTTTTCTGAAACCCCAAATTTCTTTCTTTTGATATCATCTTGAATATTATATTCTCCCACAAATAACTTACATTGTTATTGCTCCTACCTCTACTTAGATTTAAAGAAAAAATTATATACTCATTTTTAGTATTTTTTACTCCAAATATCTGTAATTTTGTAACTATCTTAAGAATACTAGTCATTAAACCAAATTAACTATAATCATGAGTTAAAAATAAAGGGAAAACTGCTTTCTAGAACATATAAACCCCAGGTACCAAAGTACTATGAACCATGAATAAGCTCCTTGACTTTACTCATTACCTATCCCTTAACTCTCCATGGTGCCTAATAATAGACTGTACGGAAATTGTTCAATACACTGATTTAGAACAAATATTATGGCACAAACTTTCATATCCAAAGGCTGTGGAGTTTTTAGAAAACAGAAGCTACTTATTTTGTGACTTAAGGTAGGGTCAAAAAGCGACAAATCCAGAGCTAAAAGCAGTCGCCAAGATGAAGCAATCACTACAACTACAGGAAAATATACTGGCTCTCCATTGTAAATCAATGAAAGAGCGAAAATAAGGTAGGTCCGTTAACATTAATGCAAGTTTTATTCAAGAGATAATATTGAAGGACTGAGTTTTTAACAAAGGAAAAATTTACCACTTTTCCACTCTGCAGTAAAAAGTGGAACTGGGGACCATTTACAACACATAAATAAACTCTACCTTTACATTTCTGAATAAAGCTGTATTCACTTCTTAGAGAGAGCCATTTAACTTTTGCTGATAAGGCTTTGTGAATTGTGTTCAGAAACTTTGACAACACGCACATACATACAGACACTCTTCAAATAAGGTTAAGTACCTAGGATTTTCACTCCAGGATGTGTTTCTGCGAGTACCCAGGACTCTAACTTTAAGACTGCATATTTTCTACATGAATTCAATTTGAATTGCCTTCATCTTTAGCTACCATGTTTTTTTTTTTTTTAAATAATCAGATCAATGTTTATTATGACTTTTTAACTCCCTCAAATTATATGTTAATATTTGACACGGTAGTTTCAAAAAATAAATATTCAAGGCCTCAGTTTTAAACTTCCCTTCAGTGTAATGCACAAAGTTGCTAACAAATATTAACAGGACTACCCTAAAATAAATGCAGCTTTCTTATAAAAATTACGTGTTATAATACAGTTCTCATTCTATTCCGTAATTCTGATAAAGAATATATATATATATATTTTTGGTAATAAAACAAGAGTTTAGAATGATTCAGTCCTTGGAAAATCTTAATGGCAGTCATTCAATCAATGAAGAAGTCGGTCACTCCTGGAGTCACAAACACTCAAAAACTGCTGTTAGCATTGACTGGGTTTTTGTGGGTTTTGTTGGTGGTTATTGCTTTAGTTGGCAATACCTGAATTTAAGACGAAAGAACATCTCCCACTAAGCCTTATTTTAAATATTACAAAATGTATACGGAAAATAGACTCATAGAGGCTATAATGCTGACGTCTTAAGGAACTCACCCATGAAATGGGTGCATGTTTTTTAGAGGATAACCACGGATCTTTTTGCTCTAAAAATAAATGCCCCTACTTTTCAGAGTGTTCCCATTCTTCAAATTCTTCAACAGGAGACTTGAGCAGCTTAACAGTTTTGCTATAAAAACAAACCACTCTTGTTAACAAATGAAAAACAAAAAGGAAACTGATAAAGGACATAGTTTTCACAGTTAACGATAAATAAAAGTGCAATAAGTGTTCAAGTAGGGCACGTAGTTTAAAAACTACATGTGAATATTTGGCATAGGTCATCTTTTAAAGGCTCTCCGAGGGTCCCTGCCATTACTTATTGTGGTCATGACTGTCTGATTATTAGCAGTTCCTTGTAGCTGTGGATTTGTAGGTCCCCGGCCATTGCTTCTACCAGCATATGAAAATTGGCATCCCCTTGATTCTGGGCCACTTTGAACCCCATTTCCTAAAAAAGAATATAAAAATTCATCACCATTTACAGACACGGATCTATAGAAGTACACCTACTTGAAGTTCTAACACATGCTTACAAGTAGTATTAGGAAAAACAAATGCCTTTATTTTTAAGCTCCTGGGGAAAAATTCAATGTGGGCTCTAGGTTTCTCCAAATGAACGATTACTGTAAATATATTGACTTGATGCTGTATTAATAAGGAGAGAGAAACAGAGCAGTTTGAGCAACAGAATGAGAAATTAGTAGAGGAGAAAAACATAGGTAATGCATTGCCCATACCGTAAAAGAAAAAAGGAAAATGGGTAAAATGGCACATGAACACTGGCACTGGGTTCAAATATGGTTAATAATGTTTCAAGATGGACAGTATAATTCTAACTTTTCAAAGGAAAGACAACAAAGTTTCCCACCAGCTGTGCCGAAACATGCAGCCATCAGTTCAAATAAAAACTTCAGCCACCCTCAAACTCCAATCCCAAAGACCCTTCCTCAGTTATTTACGAATAAAAACTTCAAGAAGACCTTTAACACAGCTGTAAGAACCATTAACGTGACATTTGAGAGTATTTGAGGGGTAAAGGCCAAACTCTGAAAGATAGGCAGCTACCAACATGTGAAAATTTAAGGTGAGCTATTCATCTAAAGATAAAAGGCTTTTGGTGTGCCAAAATAACCAGTAATTCTGCATCTTTTATAAATAATCACTAGATTACAGAAGTTTTGTTAAAAGAAATCAATGGAAAACCTATTATGCATCTCTAAAACAGATTTCTTATTATAAGCCACTGTTTAAATATACAATGTGCTCCGGGAGGTGGATGGGGGGGATGGGTGAAATAGGTGAAGGGGATTAACAGTACACTTATCTTGGTGAGCACTGAGTAATACATGGCAATTGTTGAATCACTACTGTACATGTACTAATAAAACACTGTATGTTAACTACACTGGAATTTAAACAAATAAATGTATAAAAAATAAAGAATGTGCTCAATAAAGTAGCTAAAGAATATCTGCTATCTAGTATCTAGAAAATCAGTTACTTGGGAATTCCTTGTTTACCAGTAGCTCCCTTTTAGTGATAATTTATGCCTAAATTTTCTTCTAAATCTTTCATAAGATACATTCACGTAATTGTTAACACCTAATCACAAATATGCAAAAAAAAAAAAAAAATCTTACCCACTGGTCCAAATGTACCTGTACCCATATTATTATTCATGGAATTACTCTTCTGTTCATTGTGTGCCTAAAAAATATGTTTTTAATTTAACCAATTGAAGAATTATAAAAAAATTATTATAATAACATGTTGCATCCATTCTTTATTGTTAAGGTTTTTTTCTAAACAAATTTTTAGAAGATTTATCCAAGTCCATTCAATGTTACTACTTAGGAAAGTTTCTCAAGCCTTTCATAGTTTTTGTTAGATCTTAATGTGTTTTCCTGATGTTACTCTCTACTCCTCGAAGTGCTCAATAGCACATATGTTTAAAATGAGATACTAAAAACACAAACAGACTCACAAAATACACAGAATGAAAATGACTTTCTAAAGATTTTTTTTTAAAAAACTGTCTTCATTATACTCTGGGTATGACAAGGTTGGACACCTAGTCGGGGAATTATAGTACCCAGTCAAAATGAGCCTAATCATAAAAATAGACTATACATTTGGATTAATTACCCCTCTGCTCTGTTGTCCTCGATAGTCTGGGTTGGGTTCACTGAAATTTGGCACTTCTGAATAAACCATACAAAATCTGAAAGAAAATAAAGCTCAAGTTAAATGACTCCTAAAATAATCAACCTTTCTTTATACAACATGCATAACTTACAGGAATGAAGAATTTAGGTATCATACGAATTAACTAAAAGGCAACATGCTAACTATCCAACAAAAATGTCCTAAATCCTATGTCCCATAAAAACAAAGTACTCGAAAGTATTCAACTGCCTACAATGTACAACACGCTCTAATTTTAGTGCTTCTGTACTACAAAAAATAAATCATGTCAAAGATCAAGGACACAGAAACACAACTCTGTGCTGTTTTTTCCACATAGGCTGATGCCACTGAACCATGTTTAGGGTTCCAGAGTGTTTTTTCCAGTAGTGGTGATGGATTTGCACTGATCCATTCACACCACTCTCATCCAGTCCCTCTTTGACCAATCACTGTGAATCTGCAAAGATAATCATTCAAGGTTAAGAGTGGATTCCGCAGGTAATATAGAAAGACATGTGGCTATTAAGACAACAGTTGATACCAAGGCTTCTTTAAAGTTGACAATGGCATATATTAACATTACATGTCAACATTTACTTAGCTCCTTGCCCCATAAATAAGAAATTAAAATCACTTTTGGTAAATCCTAGACTGATGCTGACAAAGTCAAAGTCACTAAGAATTCAGTGACCTCCAAAGGTTCTTCACAAAATTGACCTCTATTATATACAAAGGTCAGGAAAAAAAACATAAATCTTTTGATGATACCGTTGCTAAGAACATTCATAACACATTGCTCTAACACTACTCTAATAACAAACATAAGTAAATTCTAGTTTTCCTCCTAGCAAGAGCAAAGTGTTACCAGTTTCTGAGCTTTAAAAGCTAGCAGGATTGCTTATCTTTTCCAAACAAGAATTTTATCCCTGCAGCGTGGAACAACATTTTTTTCTTTTTCTTTTTTTCTTTTTTTTTTTGGTGCCATGTGTGGCTTCTCTCTTTAAATATCCTCCAATTTGATGGCATTAAGTAGATGTCTACGCATTAACCGAACAGAATGGACTAATGATTTGGCTCACTGCCAACACAGTACTTTATGAATACATCCCAAATGTCTAGGCTAATATGGAGGCTGAATTACCTTTATACCCTTAGAGAGGATGGTTCCTCCAAGTCAGGGTAGTAGTGTATGGAAGCTCGCATTGTGGCTGCCTGTACGGTACCTAGACTGTGGATAAATACAGGACTTCAATTGTCATCACTGCAAGTCCTTTTACCATGAGTACATATTCATCCATAAATGAAAAAAGAAATTTTAAACTATTGGCCTGAAACTTAGCTTCTTATGTAGCTTCTTCTTTGGCAATTCACTAGAAAACAGAACCTATTTAAAAATGGCAGTGACACTTGGAAGATGCCATGTTCCCAGTGCCTCCAGAAAAGGCCCCGCTGGGGATCGTCTCAAGTAGGACTTAACGCTCTCTGCCAGGGAAAACGGATATTCTCAACCACAGGAAACAATATGGAAAGCTGTTCAACTGGTACATACGTGGAAAGCTGCTTTTACAGTGTAGGGGCTGAAGGCATTCAGTTTACCAGTCAAGCAAAGCTACGAGGTTTACAGTTTATACCTACCAGTTATTCTGTAGATATGGGATTTATTCAATTGCAATAGGAAATTGCATTTTAATACTTACTCCCCAATTTTCTGAAGTTCTCCACCCCTTCCAGTATAAAGTGTCAAACACCCTTTCCACATGGATGCATACCTAGAAAAAAAAGAAACATCTGTTCTGTAGAAATACATAAATTCCCTCTACGTAAGTAAAATTATGCTTATTTTTTGTATTCGGTATAGGCAGAGCTCAAACTCTGTGTTTATGGTAATAAATCAAATATAATTAATTTTGATCAACTTGTTACTTACAAAAAAAAAACAGTACAAAGAAAACCACTGCCATATGTTCACACAATTATCTAAACTATATCTAACCCTAGAAAAGTCTTTTTGCAAAGCAAGCATTGTTATACTCCAAAGACCACATCTTTAGTCAATTCACAAAAGAACTTTCAGTTGTAGAGAGTCAAGCAGAAATTATTTTTCAGTTACAAAATACATAAAATTAACACCATTTATTTACTTTTATACTCATTTACTTGGTCTACTCAATTATCAACATAATAGTTTTTCTTTTGCCTCCATAAACCACACAGGATTCACAAGCTACTGAAAACTTGGTAAAATTTAATCAAGAGCCTAAAAAAAACCAATCACAAATCTCTGTCTTTCCAAATCTGCAACTTTTAGCATCAACTTGGCTGAACAGATTGTTTACTCTGATCAACTCTGAATGCAGACAGCATTGTTACATATTCCTACACACAAAACTATTAAAAAAATAAGTTAATAAACATTGTAAAATCAGTCTGCGGTTTGGTTTTCAGTGGTTCTCTACACAACTACTATGGTAACTTTGTATCTTAGAATGATAAATTATAACTAAATATTGTTGAAATACAGTTATAGTCAATAAGTACTTGTTAATTTCACATTATACATTTCCCTTTAGTGAGGGTTATTTATTAGAGACTCCAGCACTCTTATGCTACACTAAAAGCGACTTAGAAGAAAAATAATGCACTAACATTTCACCTTTTAACAAATGTTAATGCGTGTTGAGAAAAAAATTTCAAGGTACAAGTAAACATTTAACTTGCACTTGTTTCCAGAATGAGATCAACGATAGCAGGATTTTCTGATAAACCTACCAATATTCAATTTACCATTATTTAGATGCATGCTTTTCTTCAAAAACTACTTTTCTCAGATACGATCACAACTGAAGCACCTACAATAGGCCAGACTCTGCTAGATGTTATTTTAGTTAATAAGGTAATCATTACTCCCATTTTACAGAAATGGAAGTTACAGAAGTGTAATAATCTCAAGATCATGGTAAAGTTACAAAATAGTAGAGCTTCTTTAGTTTTGAGTTTTCCTTTAAGTTGCCTTCCTTAAAATCCTATAAATACTATATGGGTATCTTGATGTTAGTTTTTCCACAGATTTTTTGATGGACACATCTATGTATTTTCCAGGACCACAAAATATGAAATATTTGAAATGAGATGCTGTGTACACTGTATAAAATAGTTATAATCACTGGAACGAGAAATACTTTGGTAGCCAAAAAACTTTAATTATACTAATCCTCACCACACCCTCACAGGCAGGAATTCTCTTCTGTGTGAGCTACAGATGTGGAAGTTTAAAAGACACAATCAGTGTCATAATGAGTCACTGCAGGAGAATAAAATGTCTGTGTTCTGACTCTCACTTCCTTCTTTGATGATACTCTGCCTCACTTCCTGAAGATGTTGCAAGGCCTGGAAGGTTTTACCAAAGGGCTCTAACTAACCAGCCTCCTCCATTCAGGGCAAGCCGACACGCCCCTGAGATTCTATTTACCATGCCAACATCAATCTCCACCCACTTTTCCTGTAGTTGTGACCAATAACTTATTTCAAGTCTATTGGCCACAGAACTTCCTAAATCCATTTGGAGGCCCCTTTCTGGACTTTTATCTTCCTACTTTAAATATCTGGTAAAATCTTAAAGGCAGTGTAACTCCATCAAAACAAACAACAAAATAAAAGGCTGTGCTTAATTATTATTTACCCATTTATTTTTTTCCTAAATTATTTTTAAAAGCCAATCTGCCTTTTGGATGGAGGTATCATCGACACCTTCCTGCCAAACATTTTCTGCATATCATCCTGGTTTTTGCACTATGCTGACCTTACAGCAGTAGGCACAGGAAATCTTTTTTCAGAATGCATCTTCCAAATAACCGTAAACTTCCCCTCTTAACTTTTACATGTGAGCACAAACCTGACATACGACGAAAACTGCTAACCTGTCCCACGACAATCTTAAATCCTTGCTGACTAAATAAAATAGGGGCAGGATTTCAAAAGTCACTAAAAAGGGGGAAATGTTGGAAAAGTACTGTCAACTTAAACAACTCATGAGGGAAAAAAAAAAGTATGGATTATGTGAATTTTATCCATGTTTTAAAAACTCTCCGTGACCCCAAAGCAGGGTCTAATAATCTAACTTGTGAACTGAGGAGCAGCAGGTTGGATTCCTGAGGGAGGCTGACCACTCTTTCCGGCAAAGGTGGGGACACCCCGGGATCCAAGTTAGCATCCCACCCCCCCCCCACCCCCGGAAAGATGCAGGCCTCGCCCAGGTTCCCGCAGCAGCTGAGCCCCGGGCCTGTGACTAGGGCAGCCCTCCCCTCCCCCCTCCCTCCCCTCCCCTCCTCCCCTCCCCCTTCTTCCCCCCTCCCCTTTCCTTCCTGGTCTCCCCCTCCTTCCCCTCTCCTTTCCCTTTCCTTCCTTCTCTCCCCCTCCTCTCCTCCCCCCTCCTTCCCCTTCCCCTCTTTCCCTTCCTCCTCCTCCGCCCCCTCCCCTCCCCTCCCCCCTCCTTCCCTCCCCCTCCTCCCCGTGACTCAGGCAGCCCTCCCCCTCCCTCCTCCCCCCTCCCCCTCCCCCTCCGGTGCACACCTACCCTCTGGTCAACCGAATAATATCCCCCGGCTGTATGAGCCCTCCGATCTCATCCCACACGGAGATCGTGATGCTGCCCGTTTTATCTGCTACTTTGCAGGATCTCACTTCGTGGCCGTCTTTGGTTTTGGTCACGCGTCCTGCGAAGATTTAAAAATCACAAAGGGGGGGGAGGAGGGAGGAGGGAGGGGGAAGGGGAGCACCGGAGGATGAGGACTTCCAGACTCTGACTCCTCCTCCGGGACCAGAGCGCGGCGGAAAGACGGGAAGACGGAAGGAGGTCGAGCCCCGGGGTTCGCCGCAGGCTGGATCCGAGCCCGGCGGGGGCGCCGGGGCCACGTGGAGGGGGAGGGGGAGGGGAGGGGGGAGGGGAGCTCGCAGCCGCGGCGCCCGCCCTGCGGCCCCGGGCGCGGGGGAGGGCGGGGCTGCGGACCCCACTTACCTATCTCCAGGACAATAAAGACGACATTTAAGTTTTTCAGTCCGGGCTTAATGTCTTTTATAAAGAGAGGTGGGTCGCTGACCCCATTCATATCGAGGCAGGTGCGGCCGCGGCTGCGGGCGGGGGCGGGGGCGGGACAGGGCTCCCCTCCGGGCCGGGGCGCGGGGGGCGGGCACCGCGGGACCGGTCCGGACGGCACCGAGTCCAAAAAAAGAGGAAGGAAAAAAAAGGGGGGGGGGGGGAAGAGCTCACAAGTTTAAAAGAAAAAAAAAAACGCCGAGGCAGCTCGCCCGCGAACCGCGCTCCTAGACGGAGCAGGCGCCCTCCCCTCGATACCGGGAGGCGAAGCGGGCGCGGGGGGGACGGCCCGGGTCCCCAGGCGCACACACGACCGCGCACCCCTGCGCACCCCCGCGCACCCCCGCACACGCGCTCGGCAGCTGACTGGCTGGCACGGCGGGTCCGCAGCGCACGCCCAGCAACCGCGCACCCGGCGCCCCAGCAGCGACTGCCCGCCGCGCCCGCGCGCCGTCCGCCCCGCACCGGCCGCCCCGCCCCTTGTGACGTCACGCGGCGTCGGCACGCCCGCCCCCGGCTCCTCCCGGCTGTCAGCGCGGGCCCCGCCCCTCGGGCTCCCTGGGGGCTCTCGGCCCCGCCCCCGCGCACGCCCCGCCCCCGCGCACGCCCCGCCCCCGCCCCCGCCCCCGCGCCGCGTCCCCCTGCGGTGCTGCCCCCGCGCTCTCGCCTGGGCCCCGCGTGGCTGCCGCCCGGCCGCACGCCCCTAACCTCGCAGGGGACGGTCGCCGTGTCTGGGACCCGTGGGTGCTCGGGGGGAGCTGCGACGGCGCCCGTGCGTCGGGGGCGGGGCCGCGGGCCTGAGGGCTCTGCCGCCCGTCCCGCCGCCTCCTAGGGGAAGGTCACGCCGCCACCCGCGGGCCTGCGGGGGGGGCGGGAGGGCGGCGGCGCGCCCCTCCCCGGTCCCTATCCCCTGCCCGACCTGTGCCTATTTTATTTTTTTGTAACGGACACATTTTTAGGGCAGTTTTAGGGCCAGAGCGAAACTTAGGAACTTACCGTCTAGGCCGACGCCTAGGGCCCCCCCCTTCACCTTGGGGCCCCTCCGCTCACCCTAGGGCCCCCCCCTTCACCTTGGGCCCCCGCTCACCTAGGCCCCCCCTTCACCTTGGGGCCCCTCCGCTCACCCTAGGGCTCCCCCCTTCACCTTGGGGCCCCTCCGCTCACCCTAGGGCCCCCCCGTTCACCTTGGGGCCCCTCCGCTCACCCTAGGGCCCCCCCCGTTCACCTTGGGGCCCCTCCGCTCACCCTAGGGCTCCCCCGTTCACCTTGGGGCCCCTCCGCTCACCCTAGGGCCCCCCCGTTCACCTTGGGGCCCTCCGCTCACCCTAGGGCTCCCCCGTTCACCTTAGGGCCCCTCCGCTCACCTAGGGCCCCCCCCGTTCACCTTGGGGCCCCCCCGCTCACCCTAGGGCTCCCCCGTTCACCTTGGGGCCCCTCCGCTCACCCTAGGGCCCCCCCGCTCACCCTAGGGGCCCCCCCCGCTCACCTTGGGGCCCCCTGTTCACCTTAGGGCCCCCCCCGTTCACCTTGGGGCCCCTCCGCTCACCCTAGGGCCCCCCTGTTCACTTTAGGGCCCCCCCGTTTATTCTTAGGGCCCCTCCGCTCACCTTAGGGCCCCTCCGCTCACCCTAGGGGTTGTGTTGTGGGTCTACAGGGACCTGCGAGGACTTGTGTCTACCGTCATCCTGTGCACAGAGTAGTTCCCTGTGTGCCACCTGGCCTCCTTCCGCCTCACCTCACCCTTGCAGCCACTGACTCTTATGGGGTCCCGGTAGTTCTGGCGTTTCCAGAATATGGATACTTGGTGGCAGATACTATGTAGCCTTTTCAGCCTGGCTTCCCGCACTTAGGAATAGGCGTTTAAGTTTCATCTGGGCCCTTTCAGGCACTATCCATTTGTTTCATACATCGTGTAACAGTAGTGGGAAACCTGAGACACTAAAGCCTGGAAAAAAAAATGAGTAAAGTTTTCTTTAGGCCTTTACCTCTTGTAGTGAAAAAGGGCATGTGCTTTACAAACAAAGCTGGACTTGGACTCCTTAGGGTGTGATCCTTAGCACACTTGATGAAGCTTTGGAGTCTTAAGTGTAATAATCTGGAAAATAAAAGAATGCTTGCCTCTGAGAATTACACAGGATCAGAGATAAAAACTGCCTGACCAGTGCCTAGAAAATAGTAGCTACTCAATACGTAGTTCTCTCACTTCTTGATTATTATTTTTTATTTTTAGGATTTTATTTATTTATTCATGAAAGACACAGGGAGAGAGAGAGAAGCAGAGACACAGGCAGAAGGAGAAGCAGGCTCCACGCAGGGAGCCTGACGTGGGACTGGATCCCGGGTCTCCAGGATCACGCCCTGGGCTGAAGGCGGCGCTGAACCACTGAGCCACCCCGGCTGCCCCTTTTTTATTGTTAAGGAGGAGAAAAACAATGGTAGCTTGAACTGTGATCACGTGTTTCATCAATCCTATATGGTGACTGCTAATTTTTATCCCCACTTTACAGATGATGCAGCTCACCAGAGACTACGTAGCTAGAGAATGGCCAAACTGGGTTTTGAATCTAGGCGATCTTGATACCCCCTGCCCTAGGGCCCTCCGGCTTAAAGGTAATTTTTTTTTTTTTAGACTTAAATTGTAGTGGTAGATCTGAACTTTTTAGCGGTAAGATATATCTGTAGGACTTTAAGGAATCATCTAATTAACTGTGATGGTAACAGAAATGTTGCAAAGAGCTGAGAACATTTGCATGGCAGCGGCCTTCTTTTTTTTCTTGATTCTTACTATTTTTGGGTCAACCACCACTTCCCAAACATCTGCAAAGAAGTGGCATAGATATCCTAGAACCTGAGAAGAGTTTCAGAGACAGTCACACTAGCAGGGGGGACCAGACATTCTTAAGGAAGCAGAAGCTTCCATTTCTTGGACAAATGAGGCCTGGGAAGCCGAAGACCTCAATGGAATGTTGGAGACTAGTGTCATAATATCATACGTATGATTTCAACATCAAATAAAACAAATGATGAAACATGTCAGGTAATGGCAGAACCACATCCGACCTCAGGGCTTCCGAAGACTCCAACTTCAGATCAGAAGCTCTAATCCTACCAAGATCACTAGCAGTAATCGATGCTTCATTTAGATCTTCCTCAAAGCTACATTCTTCGACACAGGCAAAAACATTCTCACAAAAGCAATATTTAAATCGGACACACACCCCTTTTTCTTAAGGTTTAGCAAGATATTTAAAAGATTAGCAATAGATAGGAAACCAATGAAGAATGTAGAGCACGGTTGTGGCCAAGAGTTTGGATACAGCAGGTCAGCCACTCCTTGCATTCTCAGTCATTTGTTCCCAGAAAAGGGATTAGTTCGGGCCGCTCAGACTGATTTTACCAACGTGCATAAAGAGGAACCAGTTAGCAAACCAAGGCCCACAAAAGCAGAAGCTGATGCTCACTCAGCAACCCAGCCCTGCGCTAACCCCGCAGGACAGAACCAGCCAAACACCTACTTCCTTCCCATTAACTCAGCTGTTCTCAGAAAGGAAACGGCAACCCAGTGCCTTCGCAGTCACCAAAGCTAAAGATAGCCGTGTGTGTGGACAGTGCAGGAACTCCTCAACCCAGACCTGTTGGTTCCAGCTAACCCCGGTCACTCACAAAGGTGGTGCTTAATAGAAAGAAAAAGGAGATGTCTAGAAAAGCTATCGCCACTCAGATAATCACTCATAATATACCATTCAGCGAAAATAAACCAAGGTGGCGGGTCACTGGACCTAGCAGGTTAGGTCATGATGATTACACTGCTGGTTCCTTAACTACATTCACAGGCTTCCTTCATGGTCTTCTTCCTCCTACTGTTCTTCAGGCCTTCCTCATTTTTAGAGACCAGACATAAATCTCTGAGATGAAAAAAGATAAAAAACAAAACAAAACAAAAACAAACAAAAAAAACAACACCTCTGAGATAATGAGAGGCTTATGACCAGAATCTCAACATCAGTATCCTGTGTAAAGATGATTTAGTGCGACCCAGTATGCGTTAGAATCCTGTACATAAGGGTCTGATCCTCTGGTTCCCTCACTGATGAAGGTTTTTCTGTCAATTTTGCCACCGCCCGCACCCATGCTCATCACCACATCCTGGTTTCCGGGATCATCAAAATCATTTTCACTTTCATTACACTATGCATCTGTTCAAAACTATTACAGCGTCTTGGGGCGCCTGGGTGGCTCAGTCGGTTAAGCATGTGCCTTTGGCTCAGCTCGTGATCCCAGGAGCCGGGATCAAGCGCTGCCTCAGGCTCTCTGCTCAGCGAGGAGCCTGCTTCTCCCTCTCCCTCTGCCTGCTGCTCTGCCTACTTGTACTCTCTCTCCATCAAATAAATAAAATCTTTATTAAAAAAACAGCTATTAACAGCATCAATATTATAGCTGACCAAGTTCTGTTTGAAACTAGACATCTTGGGCAACCCCGGGTACTCAGCGGTTTAGCGCCGCCTTCAGCCAGGGGCGTGATCCTGGAGACCTGGGATCAAGTCCCACGTCCGGCTTCCTGCATGGAGCCTGCTTCTCCCTCTGCCTGTGTCTCTGCCTCTCTCTCTCTCTCAATCTCTCTCTCTCTGTGTGTGTGTCTCTCATGAATAAATAAAATCTTTAAAAAAATGAAAAACTAGACATCTTGTGTAGTGAAATTAACAAAAAATTAACCAGAACTACAGTGTTCTCACATTACAGAGGTAATCTACTTTGTAACACTTGGTGAGGTCAAAAGAAATGGCCTTTTCTTAATCTTCTTAAAAAGATTTAAACTAAAAAAAAAAAAAAAGATTTAACCTTAGGGGGCACCTGGGTGGCTCGGTTGGTTAAGCATCTGCCTTCTGCTGGAGTCAGGATCCCAAGGTCCTGGCACTGAGTCCCATGGGCTCTCTGCTTGGTGGGGAGTCTGCTTCTCCTCCCTCCGCCTGCCAGCCCCTTCTGCTTGTTCTCTGTGTGTGTGTGTCAAATAGATAAATAAAATCTTAAGATCAAACCGTTAAAAAAAAAGATTTAATCAAAAGACTCATAAGTAAT